CGGGTGACGCCAGGCAGGCCCGCCCTCAGCTGTTCTGATCGCTGCTCGCCGTGAGGGTGAGGGGCTGTCCCCTTCTGATGCCCCCGGGACTGCCGGCAGGGCGAGAGGAGGAGAGCCGAGGGGACCGGAGCTCCCTCATGGCCTCGTCCTCAGCGGGGTTGGCATTAAGGAAACCTTCACGTGCTGTAATGTCGGTGACTGATTCACGTTTTTCTAAAGGAAGAAAAAAAATTAACTCAATTTTGTTAGCTTCTTACCCGGCAGCTTTACCCTGGTCCTGCACTGAACAAATCAGGCACAGCTGACACACAAAGCCTTTATCAGAACCGGCTGCTTCTAATGGGGAGCTGGTGCTGCTCTGAAGCACAGGTGAGCTTAGCAAGAGGAGCAGCCCTGGTGTGGAAAATGTGTATTTTATGATTGGCTTTTCGCAAATATTAAAATGAATATTATATGTGTTATGTTAAAAAGTTATGCTGTATTAATATTTTTAAGTAGAGTGTTAAATATAGTTTTAGGTTATAACATAGTGTTAAAATAGAAACTATGCTATGGAAGATACTTTTTTTAAAAGAGAGGAATGAGCTACTCCCACTGAGATAGCGGCCACAGGACGCTGAAATCTTTCAGAAAAAAAGAATTTATTGCTTCATTATCAGAAGAAACGAACTTCTTCCGGCCTTGCTCAGCCCTGAAGATGCTGTCAGGATTCAGAGGAAGAAGCTGGCACTGACCAGACAGAATCCTGTGTTTGAATGGAATTTATGCATCATGTATGAGGTTTATGAATATGCAACAGGCTGTTGCTTTTAAGGGTTAATCCTCTGTTCATGTGTGTACCCGGACTGTCTGTAACTCTTCGTTTGTATTGTCTCATATTGTCCTAATCCCAATTGTTCAAATTTCTATTACTCTAATTATGTTACTCTTTTTATAACCATTTATTACTATTAAACTTTAAAAAAATTTTAAAGCAAGTGCTTGGCGTTTTTCTCACCTGGGACTGTTGCTGCCTGGACAGATGGGTCTGGCAGCTGCCAGCAGCTCCCCCACATTCCTCTTATTCCCTCTTGCATTTCCTCCCTCATCCATCTCCCTTCTCTTTGTTTCCCCGCCCCTGACCAAATCAACCAGCACTTTGAGGTACCTGAGTGCAAACATCAAATAGAGAGAGTACAGCTATCAAAAACTCCTGCAGTGAGATTCTGGCTTTGTATTTAAATCAGCTGTGCCTCGCTGGAAGGTTTGCACAAAGCTCTTGCCTGTTGGATCCTTGGGTTGCTGGAGCTGTGAGTTTATACCCGCAGGTGCAGCCTTCTAGCCCCACAAAATCAAACCATCTTGTCTCATAAACAACCATACTTCAACATGATGTCTTCACTATTGCAGCATGGCACCTTCACTGAGGAGATCTATGAAACCAAAGCTTCATGTGAAGCAGGAAAGCAAGGAGAGTGAAGTTCTGCTCTGCTTCCACTGCAGCAAGCACCAAGGGGTGAACTGTTCTCTCTATGAGTCCCTGTGTATGTTACTTAATTTGACCCCAGTGCCTCAGCTCTCCACCTCTTGTCACATTAATTTCAGTCATTAATTCAGCCACTGTTGGCATGAGGCCAAAGGGCAGAAGTCTCATGTTAATTAATGTGTTATTAAGTCTGAACATACACACGGGAGCAGCAATTAATTTGTTTTGTCGGTTCAGGATAAGTCTTTCCTAAGGGTGATTGTCATGTGGGGTTAGCACAGCAATTCCCTCTGAAATTGCTAAAGCTGCCCCAGGAGCACAGGACACAGAGGAGTTCAAATGTGGGCTGGTGTTTTTCCTCATCTGCTTTGTAGCCTGTTGCTCCATGGATAGGGCAGGAGAGATTGTGTGTGGGATTTTGGTCTGGCCACCACCTGGAGGAAACCATTTATGGATCAGTAGTGGTCACTTTGGAGACTTTGGTTGGGACAAGCTGGGGGTACAGGGCATGGAGATGATTGCTCTGTTCTCAGGCAGCTGTTTCTGGGCCTGTTTTGTGGGGAGAAATTATTAATGTGCTCAGAAGAATGCAGAAACAAATGCTGACCCTGGGGAAGCATGTGTGCCTGAATTGTCCATGGTTGTCCATGGCACATTCATATCCATCACCACCTCCATTTGATTTCCAGAATGCATCAACTGGAGCCAAACTCTTGCTCCCTGGTTTTCAGGCAGTGCTGTACTCCTAGCAGGCTAGTTCTCCTTATTTTATTTTTTAAATTTATTTTAACATTAGAAACGGTGACTACAGAACAATCACACTACAAGTTGTGGATGTGTGTGAAGAGGTTTTGGAAGCCAGCGTGGTTTGCTCTGTGCTGGTGCCAGCAGATGGCAACAGCGCCCTTCAGCCCCGGCTCCATGCAGCGCCCGACTGCTCCTGCCAGATCCCATTCCTGCTGCTCTGTCACTGCTCCTGCCAGATCCCCACAGCTCTGTCACTGCTCCTGCCAGATCCCCACAGCTCTGTCACTGCTCATCCCTTTCCTGGGAATCGTGCAGCCTTCGTGCCGCTGCGTCACGGGACATATTTTATGAAAATTCCTTTCGTTAGGATCTTTTCTCCTGAGAAGCCTCAGAAACTAAATGTAAACAATGGTTATCTGTGGAATGCAACAGGTGCATCTTTGATTGGTCTCATGTTGTTGTTTCTAATTAATTGCCAATCACAGTCTTGCTGTCTCAGACTCTCTGTCACACGATTTTATTATCATTCTATTCAATTTTTTTTTCTGATTAAATCCTTTCTTCTATTCTTTTAGTGTAGTTTAAATATATCATTTTCTTTTAATATATATCATAAAATAATAAATCAGCCTTCTGAAACATAGAGTCAAGATTCTCATCTCTTCCCTCATCCTGGGATCCCTGTGAACACCACCACAGGCTGGGTGATATCAGGTCTGGCACCTTAGCTTTGGAGTCACTAAAGGACATGTCAGGAGATGAATTTTAAGGTCCCCTCCAACCCAAACCATTCTATGATTCTAAAATTATTTGCAGCTGCAGCTTAGACACCTGGAGAGCCCTGAGAAGTGGCAGCACTTTCCTTGCATAAACAGAGCACTGGAGCAGAGTGGTTAGCCTGAGAGCTGGGTGTTAAGGGCTCTCCCTAAAGGTAGAATTCCTTAGCAGGATAGATGGGGGTCAAACTTGCCTGTAAAATGTGCTGCAAGAACAGCTCTCTTGGTGCTGGGGTGCTCATTTGGAGAGGAGCTGTTTCTGGCTCCTTTTGGATACCAAGAGGCTGGAGAGGTTTGTGCCTGGAGTGGAATTGTGGAGAGCAGTGATGTGGAGGAGCACCATTGCTGCATTATGCAGTTAAACACTACTGCTATAGGAACAGAAGGCAAGTTATCTTCTTGACAAGAGGATCCTTTTGAATCTGTCCTGTTCCCAGGGGCATATGTGCAAAGTGCAAAGTGGAGCCTCCAAGCCCTAGGACAGGATGCACTTGTACAGAAAGAAGCAAGAGCTGGACTCATTGGCAGTTTTACTCTTTGCTGTGGATTGTAGTTTTTGTCTGGACTTGGCTCCTGAGCTTCTGTAGAGCAGATGCTAGCCAAGCTCATGCCAAAACAGTCTCTGCCTGAGCTTGCAAGCTGCACTGACAGTTTTAAGTGGGGATGTTCTCCATAGTCACCTTGATTTTTGGTGAAGGCTTTGAAGTGCAGCAGTCCCTTACCTGAATTTAACAAAGGAAACTAGGAGCAGAGACCACTCTGAATCTAAATTGCTCCTTGCTTTGGTGTAAGGCATAGAGCATAGTTCTGCTCTATTTGGGTGCATCACAGCTATTGATAAGTATAATGTGATTATTTTGTTTTGGCAGTGATGTCCTGCTCCAGGCCTTAAATGCTGCTCGCTGTGGGAAAGCCAGGGAGAATTTGAAGAGAAATCCACACCCTTACAAGACAGGTCAGTCTGAGCTGGCACTGTGGA